CACTGAGGGTTGCGATCCGTTGCCGGTCACGAAAAAAGACAAAAAGGAAAAAAAAAATGACATTGCAGAAAAAAATAAAATGATATAGCAGATGAATATATGATGAGGAAATTTTCGTGAAACTGAAAAAAGCAAGTTAGAAAACAGTATATAAAAAACATATTAATACATTAAAAGACGACTAGTCAAAAACTACCCCAGACTGTTGTTTCTTAGGCCTTGGGGTATTATGGGTAGTTTTAATTTTCTTCTTTATCCAGAATTTCTATCAGAAAATCTAAATGGCTTTTATAATTAGAGGGTTTTTTAAAAATGTGGTAACATATACAAGCATAAAATTTAACCATTTTAACCATTTCTAAGTGTACGATTCAGTGATATTAAGTACATTCACATGGTTGTGCAACCATCACCACCATCCATCTCCAAAACTTTTTCATCATCCCAACTGAAACTCCGTACATATTAAATAATAACTCCCCATTCCTCCCTCTCCCCAGCTCCCGGCAACCACTATTATCAGGCCTTAAAAACTAACGCCACCTTAAGTGACATTACAAGCAGTGCCATTATGGGCCCACAAGGGCGTATTAACGTGGTAGCCTAAGATGGCGCCGGGAGGAAGTAGGGTGGGAGTGTCTGCGGGAACCTTGCCTTAGCCCTTATTGGCCAAATACGCGCTTCCGCGCTCATGAACACTGCGTGATTGCAACAGCTAGGCATTGAGACAGGATGCATGCTCTCATAACCTTTAAGCTGACTGGAGGATGTAAAAAACCTCCCTTCCCCATTTGCCTTTAAAAGCAAGTGTTTGTGTGATAATAAACGGAACTGCTCGACAGAACCCCCGCCGCATCTGAGTGTCCTTTAACGGGCTGGTTGGGGCCAGTGGCTGTGCTCACCTCTCTTCACGGCTCTCTTCCCCTGTCTCCTTCCAACGGGGACCACAGGGAAAGAGGAATCCGGGCAATTTGCTCGCCCACCAGAAGGAACACCAAGGGAGAGACTGATAACGAGGCTAGGGCTGTTCGGGTTGGCCGGCGGTGGACCCGACACACTATTCCACTTGGTCTCTATGAATTTGACTATTCTAGTTATCTAAGTGGAATCATACAGTATTTGTCCATTTGCATCTGGCTTATTTCACTTAACATGTATTCAAGGTTCATGCATATACTTGAAGCATGTATCAGAATTTCCTTCTTTTTTAATGCCAAAAAACATTCTGTTGCATGTATGTACCACATTTTTATTTAGTTTATCCATGACATTGGTTTGTTTCCACTTTTTGGCTGTTGTGAATATGCTATGAATGTGAGTATATAAATATCTGTTCAAGTCCCTGCTTTCAGTGCTTTTGGGTATATACCTAGAAGTGGAATTGCTGGATCACGTAGTAATTGTTTAATTTTTTGAGGAACCTTCAACAGGGTTTTTACATCTATCTATCTATCATCTATCTATCTATCTATCTATCTATCTATCTATCTATCATCTATCTATCTATCTATGTATTTAGTCCTTCAGTCTTTTCTTTTCATCCCAGAGAAAGTACCCTCTCATCCTTTTGTGAGGATCCAAGAGTCTGAACACAGCTTGAGCCCAAGCACTAAAGTCAATGCTCAGCTTGGTCAGCAATGCTAGCCTTGCCTGGAAACAATAGATGGTGACCACCTGAATAGCATGACCTCAGTCAACCAGACAGAGCCTTAGGCCCAGAAATCTTTCCTGTTGTCAGAATAAATTAGTTTGGGGCCGGCCCGGTGGCGCACTGGATAGTGCGCCGCTTGGGAAGCGCGGCGGCGCTCCCGCCCGAGGGTTCGGATCCCACATACAGACCGGTTCCCGCTCACTGGCTGAGCGAGGCGCGGGAGCAACACCGAGGATTGCGATCCCGTTGCCGGTCCCCGGTCCGGTACGGGGGCAACACTGAGGGTTGCGATCCGTTGCCGGACATGGAAAAAGACAAAAAAGACAAAAAAAAAAAAAAAAAGAATAAATTAGTTTGTTTCACATGGAGACTCCTGAAGACTGGTATTTCCGTAGGTCTGAAATTATACTACTAGAAATACAGGAGGCTGGCTGGTTAGTTGATTAGAGTAGTGTCAAAGCCAATTCAGATCCCCATACCGGTGAGCCACCAGGGGAAAAAAAAAATACAATACTGATAACACCAAGTTTAAGGGTTTGGATCCCTACACCAGCCAGCAACCAAAAAAGAAAAAAATAAAAATAAGAATACAGGACTTACCCTCACTGCAATCTGTTGAGAATCAGCCCTTGTGTTAATAAGGGTTTGTAAAATACAAAACTTTTTTTTGTTTGTTTTGGGGCTCTCTCGGGTTTTTTGGGGTGGCTGGCCAGTATGGGGATCTGAACTGTTGACCTTGGTGTTAGCAGCACCACATTCTAACCAACTAAGCTAACCAGCCAGCCTCCAAAAAATTTTTCTATAAAACAAAATTTTTTTTTAAGGAAAAACAAAAATACAGGATTTGAAGGGACCCCTTGTAAAAACAGTGTTATTGGCTAATAATCTAGCCAGGATTTAGGGATCAGAAGAGATGGAATTGTACTGTGTGGATGAAGGAGATTAAGTAGCAGTGGTGGAGATAAAAGCGGAATGGGAAAGGACCCAAACACAGCTTCTGGTTTACCATTTGCTCTATCAGCCTGGTGATCTGAAGCATGTGTTCCCTGCTTTGTCTCTTTCACAGAAGGACTTATGAACCCCTGTGGGAGAAAATTGAGCTGCATAGATCTAGAGGTTTATTTTTCAAAGAATGACCAAGAAATCCATTAAGTCAATCAATAAATATGTTGCAATTTCTCAAAGCTCAGTTTACAAAGAAGGAAATTTAATTAATAGTTGAAGATACCCCTGATTGAACCCAGAGGTTCTGTGAGGAGGCTCATGGAATTCTAGAGTTGGTTGCTTGGTGACCAAAATAAACAACTTTGAACCTAAGAAACTAAGGAATGTTCTTGCTTCCCTCTGAAGACTGTGCTGTGAGAAGCCATTTTGAAGGTAATTTTAAAACACTGCTGCTTTGCCAGTATCTGAAAGGAGTTCGTTCAGGTGAATGATGAGAGGGTGGCCTGAGGTCGTTGAAAAGACTTTGGATTAGGTGTCAAAAGGGTCAGTATTACATCAGATACTAACCAGTACTGTGACCTTAGTCATGTCTCTTCTCTCTGGGCCCCAGCTTTGGAATATATAAGATGAAGGAGTTGGAACACAACGTCTTTTTGGCAGACTTCCCAGAGTAATCTGGAGACAACAGTACAGCTGTGTGACTGCATGACAAGAAATGGAAATTAGAAAGTAGAGGGCAAAAATTAGAGGAACTTTTTGAGGAAGAAGGGGAAGCAAAAAGGGAGATTTGAAACAAGCTAGGTAAAGAGGCTGTACTCCTGATCCCACTCTCCCCACTAACCAGCTTCCTTCATATACTACATTGATACTCCTTGGGGCTGTGGTTTCTCTAAATTTAATATGTATAAAAGCCCCTGAGAGCTTGTTATTCAAATTTCTAGGCCTCACTTGCAGTCTATTGAATTAATATTCTGGGGAGGAGACACAGAAATCTGCAGCTCTTGGGTGATGTTGATGCAGAAGATTCTTTAACTGTAACTAACAAACACCGCCCCAGAAGCTGACTGCCATGTTAAAGTCCTACGGGGGGGGGGGGGGGGGGGG